TCCGGGAGAGAACGGACATTTAAAAGTGTGGATTTACATAAAATACACTTGCAGAACCACATGATAAATCAGTGAGCAATTAGGTTAACATCTCAGTTCCACGAAGCTTCAGTTAATCCTTTTCTAAATTTGTAAGGAGAAACTCTCCCAAGAATTACTTGGTTAAGTTGTGGAACAGCTTAAGAGATTAGTTCTTTTGAACCATGTACCATTCACAAATCTATAAACCATTACCAATGAGGAAAAATATTCAGGACAGCCACAAATGAAGGATCATATTAGTCAATTAAAAATATTCACTCCAATTGGCCAATAACCAAAATTATCAATGGCAAATTTTTGAAATGTATTTTAAAGAACACTGAACCAATATGCTAACCTTTCTTGGTAAATTCAGGGGCCTTTTTTATTACAATTTAAATAAGTGAACACAACTAACACGTAAAACAACACACAATGTTTTTTATTAATATAAAAACAAAAAGCACAAACTCAGCAGGTCGGGATTTAATTTGCCTACCCATACTAAGTAAAATAAATTGCACCTGATGTTTATCTTACCCTGAGGTGAGGATGCCGACAGAGTCTGCGCATGTAAAAGATCCAGTGCAGATTGGTTTGTCTTGGTATTCCTTGCAGTGCTCATTTTTTTGGGGCGGCCTCTTTTTCTGACTGCAATTCTCTTGCTTTTACTAATTATCTTCGTCTTGCGTGGTTTAGCAGGTGAAGATGCTTTTTTGATCCCAGTTACCCCAATTTTATCTTCTTCAGGACTAGAATCCTGTCAATATAGTGTCACAATTACTAGACTACAAAAAAAAAGTGTCCATTCATTGATAACACAAGAAATCATGACATAACTTGTGTTTCTAAGTACATACTGCTTCCCCTACCATATTCAAAATGTTTTCAACTCTGCCAATAATTATACTAGGTCTGGCAGTTCTAAGGGGAATAGGCCAAGTTGTCATTTAAACTTTTGCTTATACAGCAACATATTAAAAATTACAAAGCTAAATTAAATCTACAAATTAAAAACTTTCAGTTCATCATCAATATCTGTGATAGTTCCAAACTGAAATAGATCAAGACGGAGCAATTATATTGTCAATGATGAACTGCAAATTACAGCTCACAAGTCACTTTCTGCAACAGCTTCAAGATTAGATAATCTGCTTCAACATATTTCATTCAAGTTAAAGACGGCACATACCTTGGTTGGAGTTGCTGTACTACTTTTATTTTCTTTATTTTCCTTTTGTTGTCTACGTCTAGCTGCCTCTTGTTCCTCCTGTAAAAATTGTGACAACTATAATTTGAAATACATAGGGAAGTAAGGGAAGAGGCAGTGTGAAATTATGATTTGCAATGTACTATACATGTTTGATGATTATGCTTGTAGCATCCAAGAGAAACAAACGTTATTTAAGAATAACCTTCATCAATTTCTAATACATCAGCTTTACACACAGTTTGCAATAACTTTAGTAAGTAAAAAAGACTCACCCTGAGTTTTGGATTTTTGAGACTAGAAAAGTAGTTTTCAAGCTGAAATGAAGAAGAAGAAGAAGAAATGTTTTGCTTTCTTATTTGTCATGCCTTAAAAACAATATGGTTAATGGCCAATTAGATCACTTGGCAAACAGGCTGTGATTCTGACCAAAGTAAAGACAGGTGAAACCATCCCTTTTGATCAAAGCCCAAGTATAGTCATCAAAACAGGAGAACCACTCCCACCCTCCAATCTGAATTGGCGACGATAGAAACACTCCAGGCAGCAAGATCCATCTCCTTCAAGAAAATGCACCATTTATGCACGAGATTTCTCCCCCCACCCCCCAAGAGAGAATATGGTATAGTTACACCTGGAGCTGAAGAAATACTAAGAGAAATAGGACTCCTTGCAGTAGGCCATGCTCAATTCACTGAAATCTTCCACAACCAGCCCAGCCAGTGCTAACATTCAAGTCCCCAGTACTTCAAAAACAAATCTTGACATTGATCCAGCCCACCCCATGTTCCCTTCTATATTAAACTGAATTGAGACATCTTTCAGTAAAGAAAGAAAACTTCAGTTTCAATTAATGCATAGACCTACTAATAGCATAACACAGGTCAAAACTGTCTGCTGGAAATAAGTCAACTTAAAATATAGTAGCTTAAAGATTTCTGGAAGGAAAATGCAGCTTTGAAATATGAAAAGTTTAAGTTCACCTTTTTATACAACATCTTATCTTCTGTAGCATATTCACCACAACAACATTTAGAAGAATTATTCAGCTGTAATTCCACTAATCACACAACACTATTAAAACCACAGCAAAAAAGTCATGAATGACATCACACCCTCCCATCATCTGTGAACAATCACTGACATACCGGCAATTTAAGCAACACAACATCATACTTACTATGGTCCGATCAATTGTATGCAGGTAGTAGGAGACTGGTTTACCAGTCCATGAAACTGAGCCTCGCAGTGGTGATAACTCCACAACTCTCATGATAGTGCCAATATCTTTAAAGCACAAAAGAAACAAGCTTGTCATCCAGGATTATTGGAATTTGAATTATTAGATAAGGCACAAATTTTATCAGCTTTCTTGGTTTAATCAAATTGAAAAGCACTGTTTACTGTAAATTATTTCCAAATATTATCACACAATTGCTAACAATAAACAAACTTCCTGTGAGATACTTCTCAAATTCTACAATTTCATCGAAATCAATTTGACCAAATATTTCCCAATAGTGTGTGTAGTTTCTCCTAAAGAAAAAAAACCCAAACAGAAAAATTTACAACAAATCACTTAAGATGTCACGGTGTTATAAAAATAACTTTCAGTTTAAAAGATAACACTTTCAAAATATGATTATAATTTCAATGTATGGCAGATTTTTCTCCCCCCTCCTATTTGTTTGAAATTTCTGTATTGACGTAATGATTAATGCTTAAAAGCAAAACAAGCTTTTCTGGGACACAATTCAAATTATGTTTTATATCTATGCACCCATCCCAAAATAACGTCAAAATCTCACCCTAAACTACACAGACCACTTTCTTTCCCATGACAAATTCTGCCGGCTCATAATCCATTGTTCACAACTTCAATAACAACCCCAACGCATGCAAATCATACTATAACAAAAACCAAGTTGCTGGAAAAGCTCAGTAGGTCTGGCAGCATCGGTGTAGGAAAAAAAAACAGAAGTAACGTTTCGGGTCTGGTGACCCTTCCTCTGAACAAATCAGATGTACTCCCGTATAAATTTCTCACTGACATAAATCAACCACAACCATGTTCCAGCCTTGTCCATCCACACCCCACATTGCAGCCAAGTTTTCAAATATCTTGGCTCCACTTCCCAGACATCCTTCCCTAATTATGTTTTTAACTCTTTCAACTCTTCAATTATCACATGACACCAGGTACCGCTTTCTTAATCATCCCTGGATATTCCTTACAAGGCATTGTACGAATGCAAGATTTTGCTGTCAAACATATTAAAACACAGTACTAAACACTCAAAAACCTGAGCAACTTCCTGTTCAATGTTATTTAATTTTCTACAGTAAGGCACCATGTTGGTGCAGTACCAACACCAAAGAATCTACAGTGCAGTTAGAGGCCACTCGACCCATCAAGTCTGCACAACCCTCTGAACAGCATTCCACCGAATCCCACTTCCCCACTCTATCCCCGTATTAACCATTAACCATTACTAACCCCCACATTAAACTATTACTAAGCCACCTAGCCGACACATCCCTGGACACTATGAACAACTCGGTATGACTAATTTAACTAACCTGCACATCTTTGGACTGTCTGAGGAAACCAGAGTACCCAGCAGAAACCCATGCAGACACAGGGAGAGCATGCAAACTCCACACAGACAGTTACCCAAGGCTGGAATCGAACTCTGGTGCTGTGTGACAGCAGTGCTAACCACTGTGCCACCAAACTGCACACCAATTGACCAGCAGTGTGCATGCTGTTTGGAATTTCTGCTCACAAGAGGTTAGGAAGTGTTGCATAGACGACCCAAAAGTGCGATGCAAAAAGGGTTTTTAAGCATTAAGATAGTTTTGATTTGCTGTAACAAAAAACAAAATTCAATTTGGATTTCACTGAACAATTATTTGATTCAGGACAGAATCAATCACTTGGCACAGATTTCAAATACAAAAAGGGCAGCACAGAAATGCTGTACAATTAGTACAAATTTGCTAGAACCAGATTAAGCCAAGAAAGAACTCAAGATAAATGAAGACTTACCACTCAAGTTCCGGCTGTTTATTCTGAAATTTAATGGTGCAAAGGGTTTGGAAGAGACAATTTTGCCACCTGTAACAATAATAATTAATGACATTCCTCAAAACGTGCTTCACATTCTAAATATACAATGTTCACACAAAATGAAGCATCCATAAAATTCTATTTTTGCATAAAATCTTGTTTGAATGGAGCACAGGTTGTAAATTCTGGCTTATGTTAAATGGCCCATGTCCTCACACTCCCATCATGTAAAGCTCCGTGAAATGGTCTAAACAGAAGCAGACTGCTTCCAGCATCTGCACAGATTGAATAGGGGGACACAGGATGATTAAAAGCAAAAATGAAATTGAGGACAGACTTTTTCCCAGAGCGGAAATGACTATCACAAGGGGGCATAATTTTAAGGTGATTGGAGGAAGGTATAGGGGAGATGCCAAAGGAAAGCACGGCCAGCGGTGGTAGTAGAGTCAGACACATTAGGGACATTTTAGCGACTTTTAGATAGGCACATGGATGACAGTAAAATAAAGGGTATGCAAGTTAGTTTGATCTTAGAGTAGAATAATAGGTCGGCACAACATAGTGGGCTGAAGGGCCTGTACTGTTCTTTGTTCTACGTTCTACTTGACGATAAACCTTGCATGATGCACCAACCTCTCATCAAGCCATTGTAATTTGTAAAAGCAACACAAACTATGGTTAATTTATTGCCAATTTTACTTCATTTGTGATATGCATACATTAGACCAAGAGTAAGCCTTTTGGCCCCTTTGGCCTACTGTGCCAGTTGTCAAGACTATGGCTGTACAATTTTGGCATTAACTTCACTTTTCCCTCTTCCTTTTGGCTGATTTTTAGTCAAGAATCTATCAACTCTTAACCCTCAACCCTCTGATAAAATTTCCCCTTATCTGTATTCAATGGAAGATCCCTTGTTTCTCAAATGCCCCCCTCAGATCTCAACTTGCAAACAAGGAGAACCATTCTCAGAAGCATCTCCGACATGTTTCTAATGTAATTATATCTTTTCTTAAAGAGAAGAGATTAAATTTGTACACACTACTTCAGATGTAGTCTCACCAATCACAGGCTTCTAGACAGAAGCAATTTTTAACCCCCCTATAGCCTCTGCCACTAAGCCAACTTTGGACCCAATTTGCCAAACTTGCCTTGGAGTTGATGGGCACTTACTCAGGAGACTGGTCAAAACACAGGCTCCTTTCGAAAGCTTTACTGCATTCCATGTAGACTACATCCACTGCATTACCCTCATTCACACTTCCAGTCACCATGTTTCTCCTCCACTTGTGGGACATGGCCAAGTTAGCATTTCTTGCCCATTCTTAGTTGTCCTTCAGCAGTTAGTGGTGAGCTGCCTTCTTGAACTGTTGCAGTCAGTCCAAATCCACAATGCCATGAGGGAGGGAATTAAAGATATTTGACCCAGTGACAGGGAAGGAATAGCAATATATTTCCAAGTCAGGATGGTGAATGGCTTAGAGGGGATCTTGCAGATGGTGGAGTTCCCATGTTTCTGCTGCTTTTGTCCTTCTAGATCAAAGTGGTTGTGGTTTTTAGAAGGTACTCAAGAACTTTTTTTAAAATCAATTTCTGCAATGCATCTTGTAGGTAGTATACATTGCTGCTACCGAGCAGCAGTGGTGGAGAAGGGATGCTAGTGGGTGTGGTACCAAGAAGTTGGGTGCTTTGACTTGGATGGTGTTAAGCTTTTTGAGTGTCATTGAAGCTGCACTCATCCAGGTAAGTGGGGTGTACTCCATCACACTCCTGATTTAGGCCTGAAAAATCCCTTGAAAAACCCAAACTTGTCAGCAAGTAATCCATGCATCTCCAAGTAAAGATTAATTCTATCCCTCAATTTTTTCCACTATGTTCCCTACCACTGATGTTAGGCTTATTGGCCAATCGTTCCCTAGTTCAGCTCTATAACCCTTCTTTAATAATGGCACCAAATTAGCTGTCCTCCAATACTCTGACATTGCTGCCTCCAAAGAGGATTCCAAAATTAATGTTAGGGCCATTGTCAACACATACCTTGGCTCCCAAAGTAGAGTGGGGGCCCTCTCAAAGATACATCGTCAGTTTGGCATCTTGTCAAAAGCCTTCTGGAAATCCAAGCACATCATATCTACAAGTTCCACTTCATTTATGCTGCTCGTTACTTTCTCAGAAAATTCTAATAAATTTGCCAAAGTTGATTAAAACTTTGTTGATTCTGCCTAATAGCATGGAGATTTTCCTTGTGCCACACAACCTCCTTAAGTTTCTAGTCAGTCCTGATCGCAAGGATTAAGTCATTGACCTAAAACAATCTGAACAAACCATATAAATAGTGTCTGCAAGAGCAGGTCAAAGAGGCTGGTTATACTGTAGCAAGTAACTCACGTCCTGATTCCAAAAAGCCTATCTACCATCTACAAGGCGCAAGTCTACATGATGGAATACTGTTCTCTTGCCTGAATACTGAAGAAACCAGACATCAGACATCATTCAGGACAAATTAGCATACTTGACTGGCATGCCATTCATGGTCTCCAACATTTATGCCCTCCCAGAAATGCACAGTAGCAGCAGTGCACATCATCTACAACTCATCACGACTTCTTCAGTAGCATCTTTAGTATCTGCCAAAAGCATACTCTCCAACAGATTGAAGAACAGTAGCAGACAGACAAGAATACCGAAGTCCACCCACACAAGCCAAACACCATCCTGGCTTGGAACTACATCACTGGTACCTCACAATCGTGCAGTTAAAATCTTGAAACTCCTTTCGAGGGCACTTGAACTCCAAACAACTGTGGCAGTTCAAGATGAATGTTTGACATCACTTTCTGAAGGGCAATTCAAGATGGACAAAAAAAGATACTGGTTTTACATCCCAGGAAATAGTTTTTTGAAACTAGAGTACCATCTGGTCCAAGAAAATAGGCTTTATTTGGCAACTAAATGCAGTTCCATTTAGGAATTGTCATTTGATATTTTCATGTATAACCATGGTATTATGCAGATTGCAAAAAATTTAATGCACCAACTTGTAGAGTTTTTAAATTCTTAGTAACATGTATAATAAATCTAACACAATAGAAATTTATATCTATATAGGGAATATGAATGAGAATCTAAATCAAGTTCAAGCACAAAGATCAACAACCTTGTGATATCACATTTTCCTTTTGTCAAACAGGAGAGGATCAACAGCGATTCTGGTTTGAGTTATCAAATTTCTACAGATTACAAAAATTTTAAATTACTATTACCTTCCTTCATATTTGCAAATCGCTCCTTCAGCTGGTGATCCACCTCAGGACCAAAGGCAAAATTATTTACAAACACAACACTGCAAAGAAAGATTTCAAATATAATCTTTCATCATCAACCACAACATAAAACAGGGTACATTTAATAATTGTTAAAATTAATGTATTATAATGAAACCCTGGTAAAAGGTCATTAGAAAAATCCTCATATTACTGGAATATTTTGGGGCATTAAAAAAGGATCAGTCAATAAGTCAATGCAATTTACAGAAAATTGTACTGAGTCAGTGAGCCAAGACAGGAGTTCAGATGTTTCATTTCAATGAGGAGTTACAACACTGACTTCGGCAATTATTATATTTAGTAATTATTGATCTTGTTTCGTGGTGTTGTTACTGTTATCCTCTTGTTACATGTATTCTTTTAAAGCATATGTACCATAATGGATTGTATTAATTGCAAGCTTTGCCCCAATGTTGGCAGCAGTATTCCTTGATTTTTAGATGATAAATTATGCCCAAATTCCATCAAGTTCAAAAGCTTACCTTCACATCTGACAACAGTTTGAGATAGCCTTTTAACCCTTCAAAACAGTTAGCTGCTTTATTGAATTTAAATTAACATTTTAGCCATCAAATAATAAGCATTTTTTTTTAAGTTCTTGCACAATGTGAGGTGTAGAAAGTATTCCATTACAGCAGCTATGTATGTATATAGGTACTTGCGCTCCATTTAAATAAAAAACCTTTTTATGCACACCAACTGCAGTTCTGTATATTTGATGCCATATTAGAAACGTCTTTTTTTAAAAAAAAAGAATTTTGATCCCAATTCCTATCTTTTTGTTTCAGTCTGCAAAATCTTTTAAACTTTTGCATTAGACAAACGAAAAAACAGTACAGTTAACACATCATCCCTGCAAAAACCCCATTAGCTTTATTCATCATATGATCTCTTTCCAGTCCTTCTTGTGCATACAGGTCCTCATTCTGGAAACATACCTCATGTTTTTTTTTTAAAAATGCAGCAAGACAGGGACTGAACGATAGAGCTAATCACAGTTACTCTCTGTAGTCCAAATCTGCATAAAGCAAGATATGGACAGAGGAACAGTTAAGATCTTCTCCTAACAGTTCTTACACTTTTTAATCTCAGTGCTATAACACAACAATTTTCCATGTCAATAGAAAGAGTAACTAAAATCTGTATTTTTCATTATGCCTGGAACTTGTGAACAATGCCGGGCAGCAAATTTTTAGCTGATTGATGCTTGGGACAGAATCTTTATTACTTTTTGTTCTGAGTTTTTTTTCTTAGGTTTAACCAAGGGTAAACCCATTTATAGATGAATTGGGTGATTTCCAGATGAAGAGTGTTCCTCACCTGATTGCATGCAGACTTTTTCAATGCATCCACAAATAAAAAAATACCATATAGAAAGGGACTATCATGCCTATGCTGGAAGCCATTACCCAGGATGTTCTAGCTTATAAAATTTCAAAAGTAACTGCAGAGAGAAAAATTTGATCTTATAAAGTGCAGCCAAATGCAGTATTCTATGCCTGGAGGCTTTGCTTGCCCCAGATGCACCAAACACCTTATGAAAATAGACTTGAATTAGTATTAGAAAAACCCAAGGATCATGTAATAACCAACTGCTTTAATATGAGTCAGAGTTACACAGTAGAGAAACAGGCCCTTTGATCCAACTCGTCCATGCCAACCAGATATCCTAAATTAATGTAGCCCCATTGCCCATTTCCCGCTAAATCCTTTCTATTTATGTACCTATCCAGATGCCTTTTAAACGTAATTGTACCAGCCACCACTTGCACTGGCAGCTTGTTCCATACACGCACCACCCTCTGCGTGAAAAAGTTGCCCCTTGGTTCCCTTTTACATCTTTCCCCTCTCACCTTAAGCCTATGTCCTCGCGTTTTGGACTCCGCTTTCCTTAGAAAAAGGGTTTGGCCATTCACCCAAGAAATGCCCGTTGTTATTTTTTAAACCTCTAAATATTACCCCTTAACCTCTGATGCTCCAGAAAAAATGACATTTCATCAAAAATTAGCAAGAGTTCGGAATATAAAATCCCCATTTAAAGATGAGAAAACCATCAAGAAAAAGGAAAACCAAGAACAAATATCTGTATATAAACAAGCATAGAAAGAATAAAATTGAAAAACTACTTGAGAAGAATAACATCATCGCTTCTATAAAAGCAAAACTAACTGCAACAAGATTGGGATAAAAACTGTACCCATCCTGAACTTGAACATTTCTCAGTCCCGATTTGCCATTTGCAAAATTTATCAACTCTCTCCGATTTCAAAAAAAGTTTTCATTTCTAATTTAGGATAATAAAGGGTCCCGACCCGAAACGTCAGCTTTCCTGTTCCTGATGCTGCCTGGCCTGCTGTGTTCCTCCAGCTCCACACATCGTTATCTCTGACTCCAGCATCTGCAGTTCTTGCTACTTCATTTCTAGTTTGGCACTTGTTAAAATCTCCCTGTATCTTTCATCTATTCCATTTTCACCATCTAAGATAACGTTAAAGGTTTGCAAGGTGAAGAATTTGTCAAATGTGCTCAAGAAAATTTTCTTTATCACTATGTGGATGCATCTACCAGGAAAGGAGCAAAACTAGACCTTCTTTTGGGCAATAAGGCAGGGCAGTGACTGAAGTAAAAGTGGGGGTACACTTTGGGTCTAGCGATCATAATTCTATTAGTTTCAAAATGGTATGGAAAAGGATAAGCCTTCCATAAAAAGGAATTATTTTAAAATTGGAGTAATGCAAAATTTAATGGTATGAAACGAACTTTCAAAAATGTGATTGGAGTAGACTGTTCACAGGTAAAAGGACATCTGACAAGCAGGAGGTATTCAAGAGAGTGTGATGACAAGAGTTCAGAGGCATTTTGTTCCTGTTAGAGCGAAGGGTAAGGCGAGTAAAACTAAGGAACAATGGAATAATAAAGATATTGATGTTCTAGTCAAGCATAAAAAAAAATTCTTATTTTAGATAGAGACAACATAGTTCAATTGAATCTCTTAAGCAATATAAAGACTGCAGGGGCATTCTTGAGGGGGGGAATCAGGATGGCAAGGAGGGGATAGGACATAGCATTGGATTATCCCTAACCTTATCTGCCAAAGAGATTCTATAAATGCAGTAAGACCAAGAGGGTAACTAGACAGAGGGTTGGGTCTCAACAATCCAGGTGGTCGTTTTTGTGTTGAACCCCAGGAGATGGGAGCGATACTAAATGAATGTTTCGTGTCAGTTTTTACTATGGAGAAAGAAAAGGAGTCTAGAGAACGTAAAGAAATAATCCAGGTTTTAAAAACAGTTTACATTATAGAGCAGGAAGTTTGGGAGGTCTTAGAGAATATTCAAAGATGGATAAATCTCCAGGACCTAATCTAATGTATCCCAGAATGTTGTGAGAAGTAAGGGAGGAAATGAGAGCCCTTGCAGGAACAGTGGCATCATCTATAACTACAGGTGAGGTGCCCGATTACTGGACGGTGGCCAATACTGTACCTTTGTTTCAGAAAGGTTGTAAGGAGAAACCTGGGAACTATAGACCTGAGAGGCTGACTTCAGTAGTGGGTAAATTATTTGAGGCGATTATAGAAAGGCAAGATTTATGGACATTTAGAGAGGCAAAAATTGATTAGGGACAGTCAGCATGGTTTTGTGCAAGGAAAACTGTGTCTCTCAAACTTGACTGAGTGTTTGGAGGAAGTTACCAAAAAGATTGATGACGGCAGAGCAGGAAACATTCTTTATTTGGATTTTAGTGAAGCCTTTTACAAGGTTCTGCATGGTAGACTAATTGGTAAAGTTAGGTCACATGGGATTCAGGGTGTGCTTGCCAATTGGATACATAATTGGCTTAAAGGCACGAGACAGAGTGTAATGATGGAGGGTTGCTTTTTTGACCAGAGGCCTGTGACCAGCGGTGTTCCATAGAGATCGGTTCTGGGTCCTCTTTTGTCTGTCATTTTATATAAATGATTTGGATGAGAACATAAAAAGAATAAAGTCAGTAAGTTTGCGGATGACACCAAAATTAATGGCATTGCAGACAGTGAAGACGCTTTTCTAAGATTACAAAGGGATTTTGATCAAATGGGTCAATGGGCTGAAAAAGAGTGATCGGAGTTCAATCTGGATAAATGTAAGCTATTGCATTTTTGGTACAATAAACAAGGGTAGGGCTTATGCAACTAACGGTAGGGCCTTGGGTAGTGTTGTAGAACAGAGGGATCTAGGGTGCAGGCGCATAATTCTTGGAAATTTGCTTCACATATAGACAGGGTGATTAAAAAGGCTTTTGGCACACTACCTTCATTGCTCAGCCCTTTCAGTATAGGAGTTAGGATGTTATGTTGAGATTGTACAGGACACGGGTGAGGCCTCTTCTGGAATGCTGCGTCCAATTCTGATCACACAGTAAGAGAAAGGATACTACCAAGCTGGAGAGGGTTCAGAAGAGATTTACCGGGAAGTTGCCAGGTACGGAAGGTTTCAGTTACAAGAAAAGGCTGGAACTTTTCCCAATGGAGCATAGGAGGTTGAGAAGTGACCTGATGGAAGTTTATCAAATAATGAGAAGCATAGATAAAGTTAATGGTAGTTGCCTTTTCCCTAAAATGGGGAACTTCAAGACAAGGGACACGTTTTTAGGGCGAGAGAAGAGAGATTTAAAGTAAAAGACATGAGATAATTTTTTTTTTTAAAGCACAGAGGGTGGTTCGCATGTGGAACAAACTTTCTGATGAAGTGGTGGATTACAATATTTAAAAGACATTTGGATGGATATATGAATATGAAGGGTTTGGAGGGATATGGGCCTGGAGCAGGCAGGTGGGACTAGCTGAGTTTGGGATTATGTTTGGCAATGGGCTGTTTGGACAGAAGGTCTGTTTGCGTGCTTTATGACTCTGACTCCATTGTCAAAACAAGGTAATGAAGCAGCGTTACTATCTAAAAGTTCACATTGCATGAGGTCTGAAATGAATTGAGCAATAGTGACTGCAATATCATTGGACTTTTGTCAAGGATCAAATCTTAAACATTCAAAGGAAGATTTGCACAAATAAGGTTATGAAACAGCTGTAATAACAAAGCATTTGAACGAACCAGATGTAGTTTGAGATAGCATTCAAAATAGGGAAGGACTAAAACGGTTTTTCATCATTACGTTAAGTTATAATTGGCATTGCAATTTTTAGGTTTGGTTTTGTTAAGTGATCTGGGAGAAAAATGACCTCAAAATAGAACATTGGGAGTGGAAAGCAAGGTGTACGAAGATAATTCCAGTGCTTGAGGTCAAGCCAATTGAAGGCATGGTAACTGACTGTACATCAATTAGAATTGGGATTTCACTCAGGGCAAAATAAAACAAGTCCAGATATCTCAGAGGTTGGGAGGGAAATTGAAGGAGATTACAGAAATAGGATGGGACAACAGAGTCAGTACCTGAGGAACAAAGTTTGGAGCAGAAACTAAAATTAATGGCTTCTGGTCTTCCCAATATTTAGCTAGAGAAAACTGCCAGTGCTACATGTCAAGTAAGCAGTTTTATTATTTAGCAACAATGGAGGAGTTAAGAGATTTAGTGGTAAATTTGGGTATCATGACATGTAATTTAATCGTCTCAGATGATGTCAGCGGGGCAAAATGTGGATTAGAAACATGAGGTAGTTAAAAAGAGACCCTTGGGAGATATTACAAGTAATGGTGTGGGTGCAGACTAAAACAAAACTTCGAAGTCACAAGTAGCATTCGCTAGTAACTCTGCAATAATATAAAGACTGGAATTCTATACTAAAATTTCTGATAATTAAGAACTTGTGAATTCAGGTTTTTCTTCAAGTGTAACTTGAAAAAGAATGATTATCAGCTTCAAACAGTCAAACTTCTTAGGGAAACTAAAAATTCTTTAGGTCATATCTGTAACCATACTAAGTTATCCATCATGGAAAACTGCTCCATGAATTCTTAATTCACGCACATTCTGCAAAAAGGCAAGCAAAAGTTACAATATTCAACTTCTGCTGAGCAATACCAGTTAAAATACAATATTTTGAGTACAATAGGAGGAACTCAGGATTGAACATAGGACACTACTTAACCCTTTTCTAAAATGAAATGATTTATTCTCAAATAGGAGAATAACTGGCATGTGATCCCCATGCTGCACTATCTTCTGAATGTGGGGGTGCGGGACCTGATACAATTGCTACAAGCAATGTGAAACATTGGAATCGATTGTGGAGTCCCTTCAGCTGGTAGATAGATGCCAACCACGTCGGTGTCATCTTCAGAGAGACTGGGTAGGAATGGAAGTTTCCTTCCCTAAAATGATATTACCGAACCAGCTCTGCTTTTATGACAACCCAAGATCCTCATTGCCACTTTTATTGCTACCATTTGATTTATCAAAAATGATGTGAATTTTTCACCAGTGGGTTTGAGAGTCATCTTTTCTGAAGTACAAGTCAAGTAATGAAAACAATCCATTTCTAGCACCATCTTTTTGTTACCTACACAGAAATATGGCATAGTAACTGTGAAATAATAGTAAAATTTGTGCCCAGATTTACCTTAAAATTATGCTGTTTCTTCTGAGTAAAGTTATGGTTCAAGTGTCTACGCAAATATATTTGCATTATTATAAATATGAAATCTTCCATGAACCAGTGGAACCACATATGCTATCCATTTTACATTTGCTTGATTTCTCATATGTTAAAGCCATGTGATGTGAGCAACAGTAGTATTAACATAGCTGAAATGGAGTTTCTTGGTATTTTAACATGTGCACCTACACTACCACCTGGAGTATAGCTGGACAGAAAGTGATTTTTTTAAAAAAGTCAAAACCATTGAAGTTTATTGATGTATACTGGGCAGTTTACTATGTTAAATATTCTTAAATATTTAACAACTTCTAATAGTGCCTACCAGTGCTTATAGAATGAGGAAAAGGCAATTAACTTCAAACGTTTCTCAGAAGGGTGCAAGCAGGCACAATTGGAGTAAACTCATGAAGCTCAAATTCATGCAAGCACACGGCCAGCATCCGGGCCAGTAAAGTTTTTTTTTGAACTAGCACAAGAGACTTCAAATTTCTCAGTCTTTTAAATGGTGTGACCTAGATCTCAAGAAAACTCTACCCCGATACTGCTATTGATACATGAACTATATCAGTGAACTGGATGTGGCAAGAGAAAGCTGCTGTTTTCTTTAAGCAAAAAAAAAGACAGACAGACAGACAGACAGACACCATAAAAAAGTTGTTGTTACAGGCTGCAGCTCGACACAGCTAGGACAATGATTCATAAAACTAACTGCATCTGACTTTTGCCTGTAATTGGGAAGCAGGTATTCAAGACTCATTTGTAAAATTAGCTCACAAAAAGATCAAATACAAACTTTCAAGAGCCAAAAAATCTTTATATATTGTTATAGGAATTATGAATTACTGTAAATTGGTCACCTTGTACTTGCAATTTTTTCTTTCCATTCTTCAGATAAGAAGTCACCTCTTTCCAGCTGAGAGAAAGAAATTGCTCAAATCACTATATACAATTCTCTTATTTGAAGACAAGTTTCATATCAATTGACGGACATCAAGAAACATAACCTCTAACAAACTTAATACATTGGTAGCACATTATTTTGCAAAGTTTAATAGCTATTACTGATTCAGTTCACATTCTTCCCTACCATGGCTCTCCAGTAACGTTCAAAATTCTTACTTCATGCCACAGTTTAGTGATATTTTTCCCACACTTCTATTTCAAACTTGTCAGCGATGTCACTATTACTTTGCAAATATAAAGATCTCTTGAGAAGTCTACAGAAACTTCACTACATTCAATGTGAGCTCTTGATGTAATAATATAGATGGGCACAAGCTGTCCCTTTCTTCAATAATTATAAAATAACTCACTTGAAAAAATAAATCCAAGGAGTCACAGAAAAGTCCATGTTACATGTTCAGCGTTTCCAGTTAAGAAAATGTCAAGAGTACTTTAGTTTAAAAGAAAAGATATATAATTTCACATAAAAAGTAGTTTTAAAGTAATAGACTAATGCATTGTTAAAAAAATCCATAGAATTACAAATGCAGGTTAATCAGAATGGTTGTTCAAAGTGCAGAAAAAAGACGCAAAGCACAGTCATTTGAAACATGGATTAATTCTAAAAAGGTTAAACATAATCAAAACCTATGTTTTGTGTTAGCCTGACTTAGTACGTCATACTGCCTTCTGCCATTCTGCCTCCTGATTTATAACTAAGTTTAAGCCACATTAAAGACTTTAGTTTACATTTCCATGCAGCATTGATGGGGTACAATACTGCCAAAGAATGCAATCTTCTGGACAGACTGTCAAATAATCATTCTATTTGTTTATTTGGATACAAACTAAATAACAGCTCTTCTACCAACCAAATTAGCATTTCTTTTGAAACATTTACCGAGAACAGACTACGCATTTATTCCCCGCGATTCGGTGGCTTTGTTACTGGCTTTCGATAGCAGTGGAGAATGTGATCACCATCTTTTCCACAACCTTGGGAATCCATGAGCCATGAACTGAACAAAGATGGACTTTGCTTTCATTTTTTTTTAATTTTTTGATTTCTGTTATCAACATAGGCACCAGAGTATGACAACTTAAGCATTTTTCACTTTATTTTTTGTAAAATTGCAAGAGGCAATAAACAACTATTCTATTCTGTCATTAATTATCAAGCTTACCTATGGACCTATTGTTTAATCTGAAAAGCATTCCATCAGTTATGTAGCATTTTAGAATGTTCAAGGTCAAAAGTATTAAAGAGCAATTATTTTTTCCCCCAATTTCACAAAGATAAATAAACTAGGAGGATGGGTGAGATTAGCAAAGGTACTTAAAGGACAAGTTTTTTTTTAATTCAATTTTAAGAGTTGATTAATGCTTATGACTAGATATCAGAATTCCACAAGCATGACACCGTATAGATAGTTGACACACATTAGCTACATAATTCAGTGGCACAACAGAATTGTGTTTGAAAAGCCTACTCCTGTTTCTGTGTTCCCAAGGTCATACCATCAAGGAATAAAGGGCCTGGTGGTATTACATGTACATTTTAAACACAATGTCAGATTCGGAGGAAATAAAATTATGCGATGAGAGCTGTGATGGATTCCAAGTGTCACGTAGGCAAAAGACAACTTATGAACAATTTATTTATTCCACAAGCACAAGGTACCAATGTAGAATAGCAAGTAGATAAGATTCCAAAATGTATGGAGCAGAACTAATGGGGATGGAGATTGCAAGGCACAAGAATAGTTACAGTAGCTGTGTAGAAGAAAATAGGGAAATGGAAACAGTCAAAGAGGGGCACAGGGAAAGGAGAAATTGGGTAGCAACACAAAGTCAGCTGAGGAAGATGAAACAAGGTGGTGTATAGAAAGGAACAGAACAAAAATAATCAGAAATAATGATAATGATAAGGAGAGGTCGTAGTATATCCTATGAAATGACATAACAAAATTCTGTTGAAAGCAGCTAAATTCTCATTGTCCATAGACATGCTGAGAAAATTCAACCTGGTTCTGAGCACTTCTCTTCCCTACACAACCGCAAACGATGAAAGAGAGGAAGTGGAGCAGGAAAAGGGGAAAAAAAAGAGCAATTGGCAGAAACATCCAGATAAGGCTCAAAAAAAAAAATAACGAAGCAGCTTAAAGGAGTCTGCGCAACAAAGAAATATACATGTATCTCACATTGATGTTTTTGCAAATGAGGAGACATGATCAAGTGTAGACGTCAGGTAAAATGCAATGACAGGGCAGAGGATAACCAACTGCTGGAGCACGAAGATTAAATGCCAGGACAAATTTGACTCACAACAATGTAAAGTGCTGTTTTAAAGACAGACAATGCACAGATTTAAGAATTTTCATTGGAAAAATGAGAAAATATTTCTTAATTTAAATTTTAAGTGAAAAATTTTGAAATTTGATGTCTCAAGTGTTACATGAAACAAACTTACTGTGTACTCTCCATATTTTTTCCCATACCATCGCATCCATTTTCTGAACTCTGTATCCATTGTCTGTGTACAGAAAAAAAAACAATTATACTGCGTTTTTCTCTTCATTACATGTATTTCCCCCCCAACCACAGTATTTGACACATTATAGAAACAGGGTTTGATTAATATCAGAAGAGTCTCTGAGGCAAGCAGTAATCTAATTATAACCTCAGTTGTCATGTTTGTATTCTGCTTGGAGATTGGAACTTGTATAGCACAAAGCATGCTGTACATCATCATAAGTTTGCTGAACAACAAATTAATAAAAGCAAAATGCTGGAAATCTGGAGCAAATACATAGTTCAGTTTCTGTCTCAACAGATGCTGCAGCCCTGAGCTTCTCCAGCATTCTCAGTGCTAATCAATAAACTTTAAGAGTAACCTCATGCTTTGATAAAAACTTCAAGCACCTATGGTAATTAATGTCAAAGCACACAAACAATAGACACAGCTGTCCAAGGTAGATGTCATTTTAACCAGAGCTATTTGAAGAAATTCCCAGATTTCCCAAGTATCGTGCTCTGACAATGTACCTGTGAAATGAGAGGATGTCATTGAAGAATACAATAGAATAGCCTTTATAGGCTCATACAAAGCAAGGTAAACGGAGACAAACTCCAAAGGGGCAGCAAGACCACGCCAGCTCAGCAGCCTCTGACCTTCAGAGTCATTCAACACTACCAAAGGACTGACATATGCACTTAGATGGGAGTCATGCAACACACTGTTCAAAAGGTTGGGAATATCCTCAGTTTCCGTTTAAGAGAGCAACAGTTCCAGGTCTTATGGGTAGTGTCCACCATTGTTGAAGAGATCCTCATCTGGTAATCTGGAGAAACCTTGGATTCCCATCAATTCTTGCAGCATTCATTTTAATCCAAAGAACCTAGTTACTGAGTGTGTCTGGCCCAAGCAAATCTGAAGCTCAATTTGAGCTTGTAGGGAGGTGAGGCACAAAGTTGTCCACCTCACTTAAATCCCACCAAAAATGGGGAAAAAGGTGAGAAGTACTATTTTGAAATGCTGGCTGTGAGATACAAAGAAACAATGCCTTTACTGCAGGAGATTTGGCCACCTTCAGCAGTTTCACAAGGCCGTGTCTTAAAACTCCATCAGATTACCTCCAGGACAAAGAAGAATTCAGCAAATTGAACAAGATAATAACAATGTCCAAGTTAGACATTTTCTTAGTCAAATGAATAATCTTAGTACAAATTGTCACTTGTAGGACCCAAATTCTTGGTAACTAAAATTCGAAGTCAAAAATTCTACACATTTTCCTGATGCAGGAACAATTCACACTATGTGACTTGACAACTTAGAATAATTTCACCTGCCGTTTCTGATCAATAACTAAGATCAAGGTCAGAACGGCCCCACTCTTTCAGTTAAAAGGTCATTTGAAAAACAACACTTAGTTACAATGATCAAGTTATTAGAGGATTTTTTTTCATCTTAGAGAATCAGAACAAATCCTTGTCGAGGAGGAAAACGGGTCAAATTCAGTCTTCTCCAGCATTTCTAGATGTTGTGGCACAGGGATAAGATATGCCATGCCAAGCTGACCACGATATTTCATTCTTGAAAAGCTGCTTCAGCCATTCCAGAAACATGAGCTTTCATCTACAGAAGAATGGACAAATCTAAAGAATTTTCCCAGCAGTTCCCATAGTTCAAACATCTTTGAGACTTCTTTTCCAGGCCTGTTTAAAGAGGTATGATTTTCTCTTCTCCAGAAATTGCCAACAGAAGACATATTAAGGGGTGAACCTGTTAAGTGACAAGTGACCAATTTGACCAATTCAGGGGAAGAACGAATACATCATTCTTCAATTCTTGAAGTGGTACATAAAGATCCCTGATCATCTTCCAAAGAGTGGGCAGAATTCTCCACCTACTCCTGTGATGAGACCAACGTGAGAGCGCAATAGTGTAAAATGAAGGAAAAACATCAGTCAATTGAAGATATGAATCAAGTTCCAATACTTTCAGCTTCACAAAGGGGATTACAATATCTTTCATTCAACAGCATACAGACAGCAGATGAGATTGTCCATGAGTTCAAGAAAAAGAGAATTCTTCACTTGCAGGAAAATTCTTCAGCAATACCAGAGCCTGGAGAACGATGAGTTACTTTTGTATGAGAGTTCAGAAAATGTATTCATTTTCATCCATCGTCAGCTGTGGCAGCAGTCAGTCAATGCTAAGATCCTCTATTTTTGTTCCATAATTCTTTGCAGTAACTTTGAAGTATTCTCTACAATTCTACTTGCCCGTCTTCCGATGCAAGCAGCAAACCATGAAGAGATTTTTATTGATTCTTTTAAGTCCTTGTGCAAGTATGTTGAAGAAGTCAGTCCATACTTCACATTCTTGATTCACTGATCTGAAGAAAACAATCTAAGGCCCTCAAAATGTCACTGTCTTGCTACTGCCATTGAATGGTGATACTCCTCAGCTCTTCTTCAATAGTGCATCTTGCATTGTCACATCTTTTTCACTGAAGAAATAGTTAAAGGCATCAAATTAATCAGCGTCCAGTCAAGTCCAAGTGGCAGACATTCATTGAACACCCACCTGTCTTCATCCTGATTCACCAGCCACCGGTCAATCATCCTTCTGCTGAAGTGAGCTTTGTGATACTGTTCTGAAACATACTCTTTTCACTTCAGCTGCTGAAAATCCAGTTCCACACCAGCTTGAAAACCATCACCATTTTGAATAACCAGATCAGGGAGATTTGGCAAATCACCACAGTGAATCTGTGAACAATCGACTTTGCAGGGAGGTGGTGGAATTGGAAATATAATTAGTCACAAGGGAAATATTTAAAATGTTTCAGTTAATGAAGTTAAGAAAATACTTGATTAATAATATTGGAAACTAAGAGTATCGGAGAAAGATGGTGGTGGCACAGGGAAAGGATATAGGTATGGCATTTAATGAATTTGCAGATGATAGGTAAGCTGTGACAGAACCTCAACAGTTGCATGCTCATGGTCTGCAGTAGAGTCCAACCTCCTGGTACAGAGCGTAAGGCCTCTGCAGCCTTACCTTCATGTACAGTTTATTAAAAAGCGTTGCTTAGAAGTCATCTACAAGACTGGTTTGAGCTTGTATGAAGACCCAAAGAACCCATCGCCAAACATGTTACAACACTTACCTCCGCATATTTTGCCGGTATCTCTGCCTTTTCTACACCATAATAATGCTTGCATTGTGTAGCTGCAGCAACTTGCAACACTACTTGACCCACTCCTTGGAGAAGGGAACAAAGTTGGCAATCAGTACAACTAGCTACACAAATGAGTCACATGAGCATAACAGAAAATTCTGTAATTATATTTTCAAATAAAATTCCTCAAAACAATGACACTACAAAAACATGACTGTTACATTCACACTAATCATTGAGCCAAAATTACCAAAGATTCATAGAGTGCTTTATCAGTTTCTTTTTGTTTTAAAAATCAATAGCTCAGGAAAATTAGCTGAAGTTTCTTACCACTTCCTAAATCAACAAAAGTGTCATCTTCAGTCATCTTGATCTCATCAATCATTTGAGCAACTAAATCAAAGGATGTTTCTCCATAAACCTCAGGGGAAAAGGGTTCATAATTGTTCAGTTTCTCTGGATCGGTCACGGAGTGGTTGTAGACCTGTTGCAAGATATGTCGCAGCAGGCCATTGCAAGGCCGGGTGTTCAGTTTCATGGGCTGTGTCGTCCCTTTCCACTGTATTAAATTGGAAATACCTTTTAATTAGACAAAGTTAAGAGTAAATTTGTTTCCAAGTATACACACCTGGAAACGAAGCTCAACAACCCTGCCACAAAGTGATAGAACACAGGCAATCGATTTACTAACATGCAACCTTGCAAGTAAGTTGGAGAATTGTATCAGATAATTGATCAGTAAACGAGCAAGTAACAAGTGCGATACATAACTTGGGGCAGCATGGTGATTCAGTGGTTAGCACTGCTGCCTCACAGCACCAGGGACCCAGGTTCGATTCCACCCTCGGGCGACTGTCCGTGTGGAGTTTGCACGTTCTCCCAGTGTCTGTGTGGGTTTCCTCTGGTTTCTGCCCACAGTCCAAGGATGTGCAGGCTAGGTGGATTGGCCATGCTAAATTGCCCATAGTGTTCAGGGATGTGTAGATTAGGTGGGTTATAGGGGGATGGGGATGGGTCTGGGTGGGAGGCTCCGTGGGTCGGTGTGGACTTGTTGGGCTGAAGGGCCTGTTTCCACACTGTAGGGATTCTATGATTAGTAAGTTTTTCTAATCTTACAAAGCACACGAAGGATTGGGACATATTTGAGATGAACACAGGTGAAATATAGAACTCAAATTAGAACCTGTGGAATTTTTAGTATTAGAATGGAGCAGAGCAGTGGTGTATCATGTAAAAAAATAAAAACACATTTTCAAGCCACGAAAGGTTGTTCCACAGAAATTATCAACTTAGTATGCCTTCAAAACTCAATGGCATAACATTTGCAATAGTTTTTACATTGAGCTAAGCAAGTTAGTGATTATTAATGGATCACCTTCTTTAGGGACTTAAGCAGTACACTGAATGAAAAGGCAAGGGAATTACCCTCAACTTCCAAATTTCTGTATATTAAACATGCATATCTAGACAGAGGAAGTGCCATCAGCTTCACAGAATGGTAACAGCAAACAATTGCTTTTCTATCATTACAGCAGCAAGGCTGTGCCAACGTTTTTAAAAATGGATAGAAAACCAATAAGTGGGCATTCACATGATTTGCTAGTCTGATGGGGGATGCCAACATGAAAATTACTCAAGAATTCAGTCATTCCTGTGAACAATCAAGAATGTTTCTAAAATAGAAAATGGGTAAATTTTTGGTAAGTTTGGCATTAACTATGGTCTTTCCCAACGTAAGAAAAACAATTACTATTCACATAAGAATTTCCAGTCAAAGGAACCGAAAACTCTAACTGCCAAAGGAAAACTTATTGAGCACCTCGGTTTTGTGCCAATTATAAAAAGGAAGCCAGGACAGAGTATTATTGCTACGCAAATGATGTCACAAAAAGTAAAGGAGTTGAGATTTAGACAAAACACAGTTCACATATGTGGAAAACTTTAAAGAGGAAAGTTTTCAAAGGGAAGGGTCAAAAGCAAAGAAAGGAGAGAATGAGAATGAGAATGAGAATATCAGAATAGAATGTGTACACACAAACAATTAATTACCCTTATAACATGATTCTATCTACAAAGTACACTACACTACATACCAATTGTTGAATGCTATCCATGGCCCGGTTGTACTTCTCACATAGCTTCTGCATACTCTCGAAGCTGGAAGAAATCATACTGTGAATTATGCATTCTAAAATTAAAACTTAATTAGTTCTAGATTACATTAATATTCAAAAATAGCAAAGGATTTTCTGTATACCAGAACTATGAAGGAGACTGCCATGGTTCTGCTGAGAAAATATGTAGGAAGAAATTACAAATGTTGGCTAAATTTAAACACAGCATATTATTTGAAAGTAAATGCATTTCTAAATCCTAGCTTTTTACTATACTGACAGCTGTCTATGGAAGATTGAAAAAGATGAAATGTGAAAAGTCAGCTTTGAATACTTATAAGCCTTGCAGCATAAAATTGCTGGCTTGTCTTTTTCATCTGTCATGTTCACATTTTCCCACATACATTAATCTAGCTTCCCCTGAGGAGTATCTATACTAGATCCATAAACCTAAAGAGCTTCTTCACAGTCCCTAAAATGCATCCAAAGGAACTAATCTTCCCTTCAAGGGCAAACTTTTTTTTCCCTATATCCAACCTTTCCAACTCTTTTTTCACCTTAAACATTCAGCCTTCACTTTTCCAGAGAACATTTCAAAAAGGGCCTCATTCCCACAATACATTTCATAAAATTCCCACAAATTTCTAGTACTTGGCCCACATATTGCGAGAGATGGCAGAAGTCAACTTCCTACACCCCCACCCAAAAAAAAAACAAAGATATTTTCCATATCCATCTGTTCAGAGATCCTATGACATAGCTCTAGAGCAAGTGAGATTTGAACCCAACTCTCCTGGCTCAGAGGGAGGGACACTAGCAAAGCATCACAAGAACCCAATTGAAACATGTAGTTTCGATGCAGGAGATTGGGAATGCTATCAATCAGATCTTTTCCAACCAAACCACTTTGCCAGCCATCTGCTGAGAGCAGAGCATTTCAGGGCCACATGGTTCCTGATTTAGACCTCAATGACTTAGCAGTTCAGGTAACCACATGGGTGTTCTTTTTAGGACTCAGTATTTTATCCAGGAACTGACCCAGCGAAGGGGAGTTGGGGTATATGACCAACTGGCAACCCATTATTAGTTTTGCAATGCTTTAACTTTATACATGTTTCTAATCAACATGTTATGACACACCTCTGGAGCAGCTGGAACTTGAATCCAGGCATCCAGGGCCAACGATTTCCAAGCACTGCCCACAAGGGGATGAACCAAATACTTGAGTTCTTTTCCCCTGAAGAAAGATGTTAGTACACATGCCTAGATCTTCAACCCAGGTGTCCTCACTCAGGGGAGACACTACAATAGTGACATGAAAGCTTTACCAAGGATTTTTTTTAAAAATATCCACAAGTGCTTTTTTCCACACTCCCTCAATTTATGGCTTGACATAGTACTCCTACATAGAATAAATTCTGTTTTGAGTATCTTCAATATAGGATTTCAAATGTGTTCAAAAGTCTTCATGTTTGTAATTTCCCCAGAATCCCTAAATTAGAGATGACTAACCCTAACCCTAACTAAACTGCTTTCTCACCACCAAATCAATGACTTTTTTTTGTGTTTTTAAACTGCTAACAGCCACCAGTAAACAGAGGTGCGTTTTAGACAGTAAAAATGCTCTTCAACTGTGTCTAAGCAATTGCCCTCATTCTCTATCAGTCTGTACAAGTATGTTGTTCATAGAAAATGGCTTGCTACAAACTTCAAGGAAACCACTGAATATCCTGTCCAGTTTAATTTCCAAGAACTCATCACTCATTGATAATACCTAGGATTCAATATCTACTTTCATTGTCAGTCTGATGAGCAAAAGAAATGTTTCAAGTTAGAGAATTCTCAAACCATTTATTAAGCAGTGCACATAAATAATTAAGGATGTATCCAATAAGAACAAACACTCAGTTTTCCACACTCCCTCGATTTATGGCTTTACATAGTCATCCTACATTGAATAAATTCTGTTTTGAGTATCTTCAATATAGGATTTCAAATGTGCTCAAAAGTCTTCTTATTTGTAATTTCCACAGAATCCCTAAATTAGAGGTGACTTTGAAGCATTTATTCATTCAATGCTAGTACGCCGTTTCATTTGAAAAACATGGTGTTCATGAAGCTTGTTACAATTACCAATAAACATCAGTACATCTTACCATTTGGTATCATAGTCCACTAGCACATAGTTTTCCATAGCAAGTTTAAGATCAGGGACCTCCTCACACACCCATCTGAAATAAGTTCAAACAAAAAGTCATTCAATCATAGATTTTTCCATAAACTATCATTCCCTCTTAGCCACCAATTTTGTCAAGTGTCCTGCACTAATGCTAACATTCATTTCTTAAACCAAGAGAACAAAGCTGAATTTTCTCACAAGAACTATAGAAAATGCATGGCAAAATCATAATTTATAAAATCCTATTGCAAAATTGCAGATAGTGCAAGATTTAGCAAGTAGAGCAAGGTCTTCAATATCGCAAAACATTGAATGCCCAACTCATGCAATCCCCAGTGAGACTATTCTTTTTCTCAAGTAAAGAAAAAGCACTGTGTTTCCATTGCCTAATAAACATCAGACAACTTAAAATCAGATGTGATATGAGATTTGAAAGACAAGAAAAAAATCCAATTATCCTTTTCAAGTAGGAAAACGCTGTCGTACAAGACCTCATCATATTGTTAGCATGGTTTAAACCATTATACATCCAACTACTGTTACTGAAATACATTTATTATGCAGACAAACAAGGTAATAAATGACCGGTTATACATTAAACCAAAAATGCCTGAAAAATTCAATACATTATACAGCATCTGCAGAGAGAGAGAAAAATATTTCAGGTTGAGATGACCTTTCATTCAGATTGCCACCAACTGCAGTAGTATTTTGCATTTAAGGACCACTTATTCTGATTTTACAAAGGAACCATGTTGGTGTAGATGCCCCAGTGCTTGCTAATAGTTCTGTTTTTGCCAACTGTAAGCACTGATCACCAAGACATGAAACCCACAAAGTGAATATTACGAAAACTTTATCTATTAAATTGATGTCTTATAGGTCTTGAAGGCCTGGCTTTATGTGGAAGATGTGAGCCAGAACAATAAAGTCACACGGCTGAACAGCAATTATACACAAGCAAGAAATGCACATTAAGCAAAATAATGACTAACACCACTAATTAGCAAAGCAGAAAAGTAGTTCGTGAGTGAGAAATTCCACTTGTAAACAATATTACTGACAGGCAACTAAACAAAAAAACAATACTGTGTGTGCAATTACTTTTAAACTTCTGTTATAATCATGTCATGTAATTATATGACAAATATCATGAGCAAGTGCCTAAGAAAAGGTTTAAAAAAAAATGCAAATTGAAAGAAAAATTCGATGAGAAGGTTTAAAATGAATAGAGGAACTCAAATGCTTAAGTCCCCAACATCAATGCCTGATATGGCTGAATACATTATTCACATAGATGCTTAACACAATTGCATTTCAGGTAAGTCTAAGTCATTTACCTTAGTTTATAAATCAACATTCAAAGAATGAACATCTAATCATAAACAAAGATAATACCTAATAAAGATATATCCTGTTCAAAAGGAAAAAAAGTTATCCACTAAAAATCAGTGGAAATGAACTTCTGTTCTTACCGGATGGTTTCAATAATTTCATGAGCAGCATCATGGTGTTTGTCCTGTAAAGGCATAGTACAGCATGGTTTAATACAAAAATGTTTCTAAGAGAAAATGGTACATTATATATTTAATAGAAACACATGCTCACGTGACAGATTAGATATAAAAGGAAGTATAGATATACACATCACAATGCTTGAAATCAAGCTACCTGGTCTAAGCTCACCTCACATATTCAAAGTCCACTATTGGTTTATGCAACAACAGCTGCTGGACCAGTATATTGATGGCAAAAACTTGAAGATCATTGAACCATTCAACTTCTCAAACCTGTACCAATACACAACTGAATGATTTAATACTAGGTTGGCAACTCAGCTCTGTTTAAACTTCCTTGGATTCAAAACTCTCAAAATTCTTTGAAAGTAAGGATTCATTAATGTCAGTATTCAAAAATTTCAAATTGATCTGACATAGCTAAAGTCAGTGGCACGTGGGAAGAGATGCTGCACGCTTTTGGCCAGTTCAGCCTTTCAGTGAGCTTCTTCATTCTGGTTATTTAACCCGAGGATTAGTTCTCTGCATCAATAGTGAACTGCCTCTACTTTCTTTTAACAGCCTGAGTAAATCACCCCTCAACCTTCAAAAAAAAAATCAGCCAAAAAACACAAGCTTATGCAACACAGCATGGAGGTGGCGGAACACATCAGGCCAGGCAGCAGAGGAGCAGGAAAGTTGACGTTTCAGGTCAGGACCCGAAGCTTATGCAACCTGGTTTCATAACAATCCTTTGAGCTCTCATCATTCTGATGAATTTGCACCATACTCCAGTCCAAATTGAAAATAGCTTGCATTGAGTACTGCCCAAATTAGAATCCAGAGCTCCTGTACAAATTAAGCACCACTTCCTTGCCTGCTCAACTGGCATTTCTGAGCCCTTCTTATGGTCATGCATTGGTTTTCTGGTATGAGATAACATCAGTGCAAAATTAAGAAGTGATTTTGGATTGAAAAGTATAGGATGCATAAGTGTGCAGGCAAAAAGAAGGGAATGATGACACTTGCAGGAGTAGTCCCTAGAACAGTAACTACATGTAGGACAGAATAAATCAGGAGATAATGAGGGCATGTACAAAAGCAAGTACATTAGACATGGGTGACATTAATCTTCATGTAGATTGGGAAAGTCAAATTAGTAGAAGCAGTCACAAGGAAAATTTCAGTGTATTTGGCATAGTTTTAGATTATGTTGTGGAACCAACCAAGAATCAGGATATTTTTCATTTAATGTGCAATTAGCCAGGTTCACCAAGCAATCTCAAAAAAAGAAAAAGAAAAAGAAAAAGACTCCCTCAAAGAGTGAGCATAGCCTGGGAGAATTTAGCATTCAATTTGACAGTGAGAAACTTCATTTGGAAGTAACTGCAAAACTTGAATAAGACTAATTACAAATGAATGAGGACAGAATTGTATACAATAGACTGGACAAGGGTTTTAGCAGAAAAGACTCCTCATGAACAATGCAGGCAGTTAAGAATTTGACTCACAAAGACACATTAGCAACAAAAAAAAATTTCTAGGAAGAGGAAGAGAAGAACCCAATCACTGAACTAGGGAAGCTCAAGATAGCATCAAATTGAAAGGAAAAAAGGGGAAGGTGGTAAGACATCTGGCAAGTTTTTAAAAACTCAACAGAAATGATTTTATTTAAGAAAGAAAATAAACTTGAAGGGTAAACTACCAAGCTATATAAAGAAGGACAATAAGAGCCTCTAATTATTAGAAAGAAAGACAGGTGCCAAGTGATCATAGGCCCTTTAGAAAATGAAGTTGGGGAAATAGTAATGGAAATCAAGGAACAGCAGATGAGTGACTAAACAGAGTGCTCAGATTAGAGGACACTGATAGCATTCCAAAACTTGTAAATAAATAATCAAGGGCAAATGGTTGGGGTGGAGTGTGGTGAGGGGTGGGGAGCGGTGCGGAGGAAATAAATATAATAACTCTCACCACAAAAAAGTAGTCATGAAACTACTGAGGCTAAAGGCTGTTAAGTCTTGTGTTCCTGGTCTGTTATATGGTAGGATGCAACGCAGATAGGTACAGAGATAGTAGATGCACTGGTAGTAACCTTCCAAGAATTCTTCCAAAACCAGAAGACTGGCAAATTACCAATGTAACACCCTTATTCAAAAAGGGGAGGCAAAACTATGGACTGTGATCTTATAATCTAATGTTTGCCCGTAGATATTATAAAGGATGTAACAGTGGAAAATTTAAAAAAGGCATAACCAAGCAGAGTCAGCACGGCTTCATGAACAGAAATTAACGCCTGTCACAAATTATTAAAATTGTTTCAGGACACAAGCACAACAGATAGAGGTGAACAAGACGATGAAACATACTTGGATTTCCAGACGGACTTCCTAAAGGCACCACATAAGGCTTCTTACTAAGTTAAGAGCTCATAGGGTTTTTTTAAATGGTGGGGGGCCTTTACTGGAAGGCAATCTGTAACTAATGGAGTGCCACAGAGCACTGGAGCCACAATTATTTCCTACTTGTATATGAGTTATTTGAACAGAGAAACGTAGTGTACAATATGTACACTACGTTACAGACAACAACAAAAGTGGAAAGGCAAGTGACAAGAACAATACAAAGAGTCCTTGGTGGAATTATGGACATTTTAAGCAAGTGGGCAAAAAAAAAAGACTTGGCAGATGGAACATATTTGGAAAAATGAGACACTATGCACTTTGGCAGGAGAGAGAGATAAGAATTTTAATGGAGAAAGACTGCAGAAAGCTGTAGCACAGAGGGGTGTCCTCTGCATAAACCATAAAAAGCTAGCATCCAAGTTCAGCAAGTAAGAAAGCAAATGGACTGTTGGCATCTATTTCAAGGAGAATAAAGCATAAAAATACAGGTCAGCCAAATCTGTACAAGGCACGAGTTACACTACATCTAGAACAGTTTTGGCTACCTTATCTAAAAGGAAAAATATATTGGCATTCGAAGCAATCCTAAGAAGGTTCAGTAGGTTGATCTCAGGCACAGAGGGATTTTCTTATGAGACTTTGAGAAGGTTGGGCCTGCACTCTGAGTTGAAAGAAACAAGCGATAACCTTACTGAAACAAGAAGATTGAGGAGTCTTGACAGGGCAGATACTGAAGTTGTTTACCATTGTGGGAGCATTTTGGACCAGGAGGCCATAATCTCGGGGCAAAGAATCAATCATTAAAGTAGAACTTAGGGGAATGTCTTCTCTCACTGGATAGTGTGTGTGGACTTCTTTACTGCGGAGAACTGTCGAGGCTGTTTGTAAAGTATATTTGAGGCTGGATAAATAGATATTTTATCAGTGAAGAAACTGAGAGTGATGTTAAAACGCAATACAGTGAAGTGAGGATTCTCAGATCAGCCATGATGTCAGAATGGTGGAGCGAAATCAATTGGCTGAATGGCCTTCTGCTCCTACAACATGGACATACCGTTTACGGAGATTTGGCCTCTGCAGAACAAAAAGGGAGTACTTCAAGTCTTGCACCTTATTTTAGTTACCCAAAAGTTTGTAAAGCCTATAGTTCTCTTGTTTCCTTTATTCCAATCAAACTTGATTAGCCAATATGTCAACCACTTAATACACTTTTCTACCATGATATAAATTGAGATCGTTTGAAATTTGCCATTCTTGGTTTGTCCTGAAGATTGCAAGACAACAATGCTTCAACAACAGGTCTCTCTTCTCAGCCACTTTTAATTTCTGTCCTATCATTCAATGGTTAATAGACTAGAAAACATTCAATTCCTTAACAAAATCAAAGTTGCTGAGCTTTGCAGTATCCCCAGTATTACAAACCATCAAGCTCAACTCAATCTCATCTGAAAGACTGCAACTTCTGCTGCTAATCTATTTTTAATATTCACATAGATATTTATGAACTATCTTGGATTGACATATTCTAACCAGACAAACCAATTATGTGACTTACAGTACAAAACTCAAAAGATGGCTTTCTTCGTGGAGTACTAGGTTTCTAGGAATTCCCGTCCCTGTCTCTGCTTAGCTTGTCCCAGGATTTTGGTGTTATCCCAGTCGAATTGGTGGGCATGGACAGAACCAATGTCATAAGATCCCCTGCAAAGACTGTGAGAAACACTACATCGGACAAACAGGAAGGAAACTAACAACAAGGGCACACGAACACCAACTGCTACAAAAAGACACGACCAATACTCACTCATCTCAATCCACATGGATAAGGAGAACCACCAATTCGACTGGGACAACACCAAAATCCTGGGACAAGCTAAGCAGAGACAGGCATGGGAATTCCTAGAAGCCTGGCACTCCACGAAGAAAGCCATTAATAAACACACAGAACTCGACCCCATATACACTCCACTACGAAGGAAAACTCAAAGTGAGGAAATCCAGCTCAATGGACCCCAGAGTTTAAAAACCAGGCAGGAAAACACACCGACGCTTCATCAGAGGCTGCACTGATGATGTTACCCAGCATGGTAACGAAACGTCTGCAAAACAACAAACCAGCTCGGCGAGCCGACCAACCTCAACACCCACAACCCGAGCTACAAATCTACTCCAAAACCTTAGAGAAGAATTCTTATTTACTTATTGGATAAAATACCAAACTTGTGATCCAAGCCAAGGGAGCAACACTAACAACGTAACCATTCAACATATTCTTCTCATATCTTATTTACAATGACAGTAGGCAGCAGAGGTTTCATAATTGGATACAGATATTCAAAGTTAAGCGCAGTGCATTAATTGGAAAATCAAGCCAAAGTAGGGGTGATACATTAAAAAGAAATCAACAACTTTTGTGGCATGAAACATGGGAGTCAGGACCATTTGCAATCTTGAAGACTAGAATTCAGCTTCCATTGTGAAATCATATTTGATTCTTTGTTTAAACATACTATTTGAAATTTAATTAAAACATTAAATATTCACGATTGCATGCACTTTGTGGCAACTTTTTTCTGATGGGGGGCATGCAGTTACAGACTCAGAACATGTTAGAGGCA